TGCTTGTTTCTGGAAAGAAAGGGGAAAAAGACTAAAATAAACCTTAAACTTGTAGACGAAAACTAAATTAAACCTTGAATTTCTACTCCCTGAAATCAGCACACCAAACTCTCTGATCCCGTTCTATTTAAACATCATGCACGTTCCTAGGTTGAACCCGGGATCTTCGGCTGCGGCTGGACGCGACTGGGCCGGCCCACCAAGCGCAAAGTTTCTTTCTAATGTTTTTCTCATAACGTGCAACGTCAAAATACCAAAAAAGAAGAGGTCCAAAGAAACGAACTCGTGACTTAAAGCAAAAGAAGTCCTCCTTCTAGCCACTCTAACTGAAGGTTGTTGGTGTAAAAAGAGAAGCACAAAATGTTTGACCACATATGGCAGAGCCGAGATTTGAAGACCGCTTTTTTGCAATTTTTTGGAAGATTTCATTTAAAATTATCAATAATTTTAAAGTGAGAATATTACTAAAAAATAAAATCCAACATTTTTGCATATATATGAACAATCTTTTGGAATTACGAACAGTTTTTAAAAAAACATAAACAATTTTTGTTAACACAAACCTTTTGTGAAATCTCCAAACATTTTTAAAGTGTGAAAACTATTTTGAAAAAAGAACATAATTTTACACGATTTTTTTAAACTGAACAAAATTTTAAAGTGCGAAAAACTTTGAAAATTTGTTCCTTTTTTAAAACAAATTTGAAAGTGTTTGCATTTTAAAATTATGCTGAGGTTTCAAAATGTGCTCCCATTTTTCAAAAAATGTTTATGTTTAAAAATATTTGTGTTTCAAAAAATTGTTCTCACTTTACAAAAACTTCATATTTAAAAAATCATTGTTCAAAATTGCTCACGTTTGAAAAATGATTCATGTTTAAAAAATGTATGGGGATTTCAAAAATTGTTCACACTTCCCAAATTTATTTGTATGTTTAGAAAATATTTGTAATTTCAAAATCAGTTTACATCTTTGCAAAAATGTTTGAAAATTTAAAAAATATATTTGTATTTTAATAATATTCGGATTTCAAAACTGTTGACAATTAAAAAAAATGTTTTCAAATCTCGACGCTGCGTTGTGTGCTTAAATATTTTCGCGCTGCTCTTTTATCATCAGTAGTCATCAGTTAGTGTGGTTAGCCAGGGTAGTTTAGCGGTGCTAGATCACATGTTTGATTTCCTGGGAGTATTACATATGTCTGTATTTTTTAAGTCGCGCATTACGTAAAAGAAAAACATGTTTCGCCCGCATTGCGTAAAAGAAAAACATGATTTGCCTTGATGGGCCAGCCCAGTCGCTTCGGGCCGCAGCCAACTATCCTGGTTCGACCTGCTGCCACATCGACAATCTCTTTGAAAACCCGCTCAAGGTTTAAAATAGACGGGATCATAGAGTTCGATGTGCTGATTTCAGGTTAGAAGTTCGATGTGCTAATTTTTGGACATAGAAAAGGGCAAAAACAGAAGAATGAAAAGCCAGAAAGTGGTAACTGGGGCATTACACACCATGGTTGATTTGACGACTTTTTTTTAATGCGTGAAGGATTTGACGACTCGTCACGATCTTATCATCCTCGGTTTATTTGTAGTTTTCTTGTCGCTGCCGTACACGGGAGCACAATATTCGTACATAATTACCATGAGGATCGCACGAGATTGCAGAGAGAGAAACTAAGAGAAGAGCATCTGTATAACACGTGTTTATTTCGTAGCCTGGAAAACGCGTGCTAATAGTTTGCTTGAAGGAAACACACGCGCTAACAACGCCCTGCTCCAGTTTACCTGCATTTCCTTGGAAGTAGCCGGTCGACGGAAACTCGGCTGATTGATCCGCACCCGCCAGGAACTCTTCAGCCCGGCTCGCTTTTTTCATGGTAATACGTGTTATCATAAGAAACATAGTACTTCTTCCGTTTTTATTTAGTCCGCATATTAGATTTGGTCAAAGTCAAGCTTTATAAACTTTGACAAAATTTCTAAACAAAAATATTAACCTATACAATAACAAATCGACACTATTAGATTTATTATAAAATATACTTTCACATAATATAGATTTGTTATGATAAATGTCTATATTTTTTCTATATACTTGGTCAAACTTTACTAAGTTTGACTTCAGTCAACTCTAATATGTAGAGTAAATAAAAACGGAGGGAGTATAAGTCACGTAGAAACCGACCGGACAAAACCAAAAAACAGCAAAACGCTAGCCTTTAGATAAAGGAACAACAGCCAGGAAATAAAATTACAATCAAGACTAAAGAAACCTCTGAACTTGACACCAACGCCCGTCATAGGCCTCTGGAATCACCATAGCAGCCCCAAAAGGAAAAAATGACGGATCATCTTCACACCTGAGCTCGAAGCGGCTCCATCGCTGATATGCGGCTTTGCGGACTTCCAAGGCGGCTCACCAGGAGCGAGATCATTGCCGTTGAACGAATCAGACCGAGGCAACACCCCATACACGACATCAAACTCCAGATCTGGCATCCCCACACGACTAAGACGCCGGAGGAGAAAACCACACCTGCCATCCACGAACCACAAACCTAGCACACGTTCAACCATCTTTCAGATGCCACCGATGCAGATCACAATCTGCATCCGCTCCTGGATTACCTCCCAAGCTCCGCGCCGGCGCTGAAGCAAACGCCGTCGCAACGGCGGAACCCGAGAACACATGTCCACCACGAGGATATCGCCGCCGCCACGACATCCTTACTTGAACAGACTGATTTCCAAATCTATCCCCAAACATAGGACCGATCGACTCATCGGAGTAGGATCTGAAGAAACTTTATTGAGCCCTCACATCGCCGTCACCGAAGTTAAGATTATGAACAAGCTAAAAATCTAAACTACGAGAGTAAAAAAGATCCACACGCATGGATCCGGTGACCCCCTCACCACCGACGACCGAGGCCGCTGGAGGGTGGCGGCGTGGAAGACTCGTGGCGGCAAGGTCGCTTTTCTTTCTTCAAAGCAAATCGATCTCGAGCCCAGCTCGCTGCCGTGCGCAGTTTGCAGAGGAGGAGAGGAGATCCTTTGGGCTTTGCCACCCGGTACGTACGTAGCCAAGTTGGTCGCTGTTGATTTGGCCTGTGCGTAGTACTGTGCGTGCGGTCGTCTCCGGTGATGTGCTCTGGGCGCGCGCGCGACCTGGGGCAGGCCGCATCCGGCGTAGTCCGGTCCAGCCGTCCAGGACGTGTGATTCGGACTTGTCGTACGTCGCCCGAGTTATCGCGCCGACCGGCGAGCTGGATCCTTGAGCAGCAGCACACCGTTGACGTGTCACTGAATACTGAGATGCATCTGTAGAACCGTGCTAGGTGACATGATAAGGCGGCAGCGCATACATCAGTCACTACCGTGGCTCTGGATCGTGGTTGCTGAGCATGACAGCGGCACACCCAATCAATCGGTCCAACGGAATATTCAGTGCACGTGTGCTAGGGAGGCCAGAGTGAAAAAGGAGAACTGGAACCTTCTCGTGCCAGCTTCAGTTTCGTTCTCACGCCTGCCTCGATGATTTGCAGCCAAAGACGCGCGGGCATGTGTACATACTACTCCTAGGCTCCTAGTGTACGTGAAGCTCCTAACGTGTACGGATCAGCATTGGTGGAACGGAACTGGGATCCATACACAATCAAATCAGCGTCAGACAGCTCGCTCGTTCCATCGCTCACGACACGACAGCAGCTGCTCGCGAGACGCTACGCGACGTGATTCGCCAGTACAGTTAGGCTTGCTGACCGCAGACACTACCTCCTGAAACAAGAAAGATTCGTCGACCAGCCCCGCTACGAAGTACGAACACGGGAACCGCAACGAGGCACCGACGGGCAAAGCGAGCCAGCCTGCGCGGATCGGGAAACCGCCGCGCGACGGGCCACCCAGGCGACAGCGGTCGCGTCCTGCCCGGATCGGCCACTCGTACCAGCCAATGATGAGTAATCGCAATTGCGACAGGGACCAACTCCAGGCAACGCACGCACCTGCTGGTTGCATCCCGGGGAGGCGCCACCCGCGGCGACGCACCTGCCATTGCGGGCGTGCATTGATAGGAAAACGAGATCGATTTACCATGGCAGCCGGGCTCGTCCAGACGCCGCCGCCGCCGCCGAGGTTCACCGCGGCTGCGCACTTCGGCGGCAGGACACGGGGAGAAACTTCAGCGCGGGGCACGTCATGGCGTGCGCGAGAAATACAAAATTGCTCGATCGTGTTGACGTGCGCTTAGTATTTTTGTATTGACCATTGAGTATGTCGACATGTCTGGCGCGGATAAGAGCGCGCGCGCCGTGCAGCTGCATGCCCGTCGCCGTCAGCGTCGGGGGCTCGGGCGGCCGAGCGCCGGCAGGTCGCCACGTCCGAGCACCAACCGCGCCCAGCTCTTGGGCTCCTCATGAGCTGGTTCCACGGGGGGACGCGATCGTACGTGGCACGGGCCAGGGTGCCCCGGCAGGAGTCTTATCCGGTTCTCGTGCCTATCTGGACGCCACATCGATCCACATGCGTCAATCATTACTACAATCTTTTTAAAGCAGCGGTGCTTCTATATTTTTAGGAAGATCAGTACGTCTTTCTGAATTTTTTTGGGTGGCGTGGAACTTCGATTTGGGGATAGCGGTCAAAATGGTCACGTAGGATAAGTAATTTGATGAGTAGTTCGTATTTCTGTATGTAATCTGACGTGGCGGCCTGATACGACTTGTCAGAGCTGAAGCTTCTCTAGCTTGGTCGCTTGGACACTTGGACCTGCCGCTTGCCCGCATGCATTATTTGCTTTCGTTTTCGAACAGTAATAAATCACGAGGTGTTCCAAGTTTCCAATCGAACAGTAGCGTCGTGTTCCCGCGCCTATAAGAACAACCAAACTTTTTGGACACCACACCTCAAGAAGCAACCAAGAGCGCGCGCGGCTGGGTGCAGATCATTGACGGCGGAACGGAAGCAGGCCATAACGATCTCTTGGATTCGACCGGCCGGCCATGGACCCGCGGTGCGGCGGCCACTGGGAGAGCTCGTCGGAGGACGTGACGAGGTCGCTGCTGCCCCTGCACGACATCACGACGGACGGCGGCGCCCACCGCTCCTCCTGCTCGCCGCTCGTCGCGTCGCTGCTCGCCAACAGGTACCTGTCGATCGCGGCCGGCCCGCTGGCCGCCGCGCTGATCTGCGCGCTGGTCGATCTCGGCCCCGGGCACGCCGCGGCGCGGAACATGCTCGGCGTGCTGGCGTGGGTGTTCATCTGGTGGATCACCGACGCCGTGCCGCTCGCCGTCGCGTCCATGGCGCCGCTCTTCCTCTTCCCCGTCTTCGGCGTCTCCTCCGCCGACGCCGTCGCCAAGGCCTACATGGACGACGTCATCTCCCTCGTCCTCGGCAGCTTCATCCTCGCCCTCGCCATCGAGCACTACAACATCCACCGCCGCCTGGCGCTCAACGTACGCACGTTCATGGAGTAGCACCGCGCGACTGATTCTTTCAAAGTCGTACTGACATTGTGCGGCCCGCGCGCAGATCACGGCGCTCTTCTGCGGGGACCCGGTGAAGCCGGCGCTGCTGCTGCTGGGCATCTGTGGCACCACCATGTTCATCAGCATGTGGATCCACAACACGCCGTGCACCGTCATGATGATGCCGGTGGCCACGGGTATCCTGCAGAGGTTCCCCGGCGAGGCGGCCGCCGGCGCCGACGCCCGCGAGTTCAGGCGGTTCTCCAAGGCGGTGGTGCTCGGCGTCGTGTACGCGTCGGCGATCGGTGGGATGGCCACGCTCACGGGCACGGGCGCCAACATCATCCTGGTGGGGATGTGGTCCACCTACTTCCCGGAGCAGGAGCCCATCACCTTCAGCTCCTGGATGTCCTTCGGCCTCCCCATGTCGCTCCTGCTCTTCGCGGCGCTCTGGGCCACGCTCTGCCTCATGTACTGCTCCAACAACACCGGGAGGGCACTCTCCGCTTACCTTGACCGCACCCATCTCAGGAGGGAGCTCAGCTTGCTTGGTACCTTATCTTTCTTGCTCTCCCTCTCTCTCTCTGCTCACTTAGGAAAATGACTGGTGTAGCATTCAATATGTTCTTGTGATCTGGCTAGTTTGAATTTTAAACGAACTCTTGGTCAAACATTTCATGGAACGAAACTAGCGTTTAGTTATCTGATGGGGATCTCCATTTTTGATTTGGGCCAGGTCCAATGGCTTTTGCAGAGAAGATGGTTCTTGCCGTTTTCGGGGTAAGTTTGGTTGTACATTTTCATCCAGTAAAATGTTCTACTTAGCCTTTTTCTCCCCTGAACCTAGAAACAGAACTGAATGGATCAATGGCCAACTCTTTTGCAGGGCCTGATTGTTCTTTGGATGACGAGGAGCCTGACGGACGACATCCCTGGGTGGTCAGTCCTCTTCCACGGCAATGTCGGGGACGGAACAGTAACTGTAAGTGCACCAAGAATCATCTCCTCTGATCATTTTTCCGAGACAATCAATCTGCCTCATGAACTCACTCGATGATGGGACACCCCATCTTGATCGCAATGCAGATCATGATGGCGACGCTGCTCTTCATAATCCCCAGCGGCAAGGGCGACGGCGAGAAGCTCATGGACTGGGCCAAGTGCCGGCGGCTGCAGTGGCACATCGTCCTGCTCCTCGGCGCCGGCTTCGCCATCGCCGACGGGTTCAAGGCGAGCGGCCTGACGGACATCCTTGCCGGGTGGCTGGGCTTCCTGCGGGGCGCGCCGGCGCTGGCCGTCGCGCCCGTGGCGTGCGTCTTCAGCGGCCTCCTCACGGAGTTCACCTCCGACGACGCCACCACCACGCTGGTGCTGCCGCTGCTGGCGGAGCTGGGCAGGAGCATCGGCGTGCACCCGCTGCTGCTCATGGTGCCCGGCGCCGTCGGCGCGCAGCTCTCCTACCTGCTGCCCACCGGGTCGCCCGGCAACTCCGTCGGGTTCAGCACCGGCTACGTCACCATCAAGGACATGGTGGTCACCGGCATGCCCATCAAAATCGTCGGCGTCGCGGCTCTCACGGTCCTGTTGCCAACGCTTGGTAAGTTCTCTTCATGTGATGAGAAAATAATCTGCAGAGCTATACTACTCTTTATATACTCTGGCACTGAATCATGGTAGTTCTCTTGATGTGATGCAGGTGTTGCGGTCTTTGGCATGGACCAGAAGGTATAGGAACGTGCTGGAAATTCAGTTGGAATTTTTGAACATCTCAATCGCTAGACTGCAGGTAGGTTAATACGACGAGTAGTGTTTAGTAGGAGGTTATTGAGGTTGTTGTACAGTGTATAGTCAGTGTCATTGCCTCATGAACGGTATGGGGTCATATTCTTTTCAGTATCTACTACCTAATTTGTATCGAGCGCTTCCATTTCCATGTGAATATATATACCGAAATCATCTGGTGCACATCTAATGAAACCACAAGGCAGAGTTTGGATGTAGGAGTACATCACCGGCAGACTGTGTAATTGGGTTATATATAAACAGCTCCATGATGATGAGCATATCAAGATCTGTATAAACAATTCCACTATGAGGAGCATGATCGTATCGCATGATTGCCACTCCATAACCAATTGCATGATGAGTAGCAAGTCGCACAACGTCCAAGCATTGCCTTTATTGTTGACACCTTTCCCTGTCATCTTATCACTCCCGGTGATGATGGACAAAAACATTCGACGTGACATCCTGCTGCACTAGATCATCGAAGGCGCGCGTTGCCGCGCCCATCCATTATTACAATTTAATGATAGTATGTACTTAAATACCAAATCATCAGTGTATTATTAACAAGAACTCGAAGCTTTGGAATTATACTTATAAGAGTTACAGAAATAAGATAGTACACTTAACATTGAGGTTACAATTACCAAGAAGTAAATATCAAAATTCGAGGGCAAGATGTTCAAGTGAAGAGTATTAATTATATATTGTTGTAACAGACTCCTTTAAGATGAATTAATGCTAAAAAAAATTAGTATGTATCATGCAATCTCATAAATACAAAGCTCACTCCGACCTTTATGCAAAATAAAGATCTGCAATTAGCTTGCTGAAGTGCGAGGCTTCAAAAGACATCAAACATTTCACATGTGTTTTTTACAAGCCGTACTGCCAAATCAAGCACGCTAAGAGACCTTTAAAAAGTAAACAATCATACATCAACAGAACTTTGATCTAGCCCCCTGCCACACCATCAGTAAAATCGTAAGCTTTAATATATGTCAACTGCTGCTGCATCTGTTCTGAAGCAGATCATTTGAAGTTCAGTCTTGATTGGAGTTATATCGTCTACCACCACAAGTTTTTCTCAAGCCAAAAACACCAACTTCTGCTCCAAGGTGAACTTGATGTTTTCAGCCTGTTCAAAGAGAGAAAAAAAAATTAAATCCATGTGAACCTTGGTAACATGATTAAAGGTGCATAAAGGTAGTTGTATAATTTGCAACCTTTCAGGACCCATGAAGCTCCCCTTCATAAGCAACAAAGCGCATCACGCAAAAAAGCAGTACCATATTTTCACTAAGGCAAACTTCATTCACGCAAGTGACTGGAAACACACATAAAAAACGTGGTTAAAGGGGAACGTTCCCTCCCTTAAGTGTACATTGTTAGGTAGAAGATGCACCCTTGTGGATCAAACGTGGGCGGGTGAGCTTAAAACCATGCACTCATGCCAACAAATCGTTATCTGGAAGCAACAACAATTTCAGGTGATTGGGCCATGTGGATCAAACACGGGTGGACGAGCTTACAACCGACATTCCAAGTCCCCAAGTGTTGTTCTTGTACAAGCCCAATCTAATTAGGTTCTGAAAATCATCAAGTTCTGAGATGATCGTCCATTTTTTGTGCGTGTGAAGTATACAACTAGTTGCATTGAAATGAACAATCGATAATATTAAACAGAAAACCTTGAATATGTCAGGGTTAAATTACATGAAACTAAATCTGAAGAAATTTAGGACAGTAAAAAGTGCACCATCAGGAAATATGGAAATGCATCCTACATTCTTTCAAAATATATGTGTTAGTTATTTAGTAACATGTTGTCCTGAACAGATTTTAGGATGACATAGATGAAGGTCAAAAAATAGTATCCTATCTACTTGTTTCAGTTAAGATGTCATAGCTCTTTTATATGACTAAAAATCTTAATATTCGTTAGTCATCGGAGAGGATGAAATCATACTTGTAAAAACATTCCATGAGTTCATATCTACCTGCTACCCCTTTTCACAAAACAATTCTACCTACTACCGACTCATAAAACCTTTAGCTTAATTAGCATTGGTTGTAGTACAAGTAAACAGTTACTTATACACAGCTTAACACATAAGCATTGAACGGACAAAAGTACCAAACTGAATAAGTTGAAAGTTAAACAATTTTTCACATGGAGGCTGGAACATATGCCATTCTCAGATCTTGATCAAAACCAAAGAATTGGTATGCACCATCTTTATCATATATAACAAGAACTGGGATACTACAAATAAGATTTGATGTGCTCACCTTGGGGCAGCAATCTCCACGACACATACGCATAAGGAAGAACACAGGGAGATCTACCCAAGCATGATGTTTAATATTTTGTGCTGCTGGAGTAGAGAGGGTGAGCGAAGAGTGGCCAGGGAGGAAGCATATATACACGCAACAATTGGAAACTGAAGTGTGCAGATGAGACGTCGCCCCAGGCATGAATGCCTGCTGGAAAACTGAAGTATGATTGTGTTAATTAAGGCTGAGTCGATCGCCCGTCGCATCCTGTCAACCGCCCCTGATTCGTTCTCGTGTGAGCGAGTTTTTTTTTCTTTTACAGAAGGGGAGCACTTGTAGGAGAGGGCCTTGGCTGCCTTGGGCCGAGCAGGAAAAAATGGCTCAATTAACCAAAGGGCTCCAAAATAGCTACGGGAGCAGCTGCCCTTACGAGGTTAGGCCCAGTTCGCGGCGAACGTAGTATCAACTTTAGATCGGACAGCCAGGAACGTTTAACAAACGAAATCAAACGGCCAGAAATGCCTAATTCGTGAGGAGGCTGGGATTAGGCTCAGTTTTACTGTTCTTAATTAATTAAGCTAGAGTAGTTGATAAGAATAATTTCCTCAGAAAAGGATAAGGAAAAGAAAAATGAAGTTGAAAAAAATAAAAATAAAAATTCACAATTGCAGTCTCGTTGTATCGGTCGCATTTGCGGGCTGATTGTGACACATGCGGTTGAAGGTTTAGCTGCATACATGCAACTGGTCGACATCCCTTCGCCCAAGTTCCAGTCGGGGGCGACACTTGCAGTTGCGTGCCTAGTGGCAGACATGCAAGTGCAACCAACCTGACAAAACACCACAGACCATAGAGTTACAATCGCTTTGGAGACACGTAGTTGCATTCAGGAGCGACACTTGCAGTTGCGTGTCTAATGGTAGACATGCAACTTCCCCTCCCGTGGACAAACACCACAGAGTAAAGGGCGACAGTTGTAGTTGCATGCCTACTATCAGACATGCAATTGCCACTCTCTTAAGTCAACCACTGACAAAAAAGGGTCAATTGCACTTGTTTGGGTAGACAGGCAGTTGCAATCGAGGGGGGGGGGGGCACTTGGAGTTGCATGTCTAGTGTCAGACATGCAACTAAACCTCCTCCCCCTACAAACACTCTCTTCCCGCTATCCGGAAAACAAAGGGCCAGTTATAGTCGAGGGAGACAATTGCAGTTGCATGCCTAGTGTCAGACATGCAACTGCCCCCCTCTCTCATTGCCCACCAGCAAAACAAAAGGTCAGTTGTAGTCGGGTGGGTAGACATGAAGTTGTAATCGAGGGCGGCACTTGTAGTTGCATGCCTAGTGTTAGACATGCAACTACCCCCTCCGACAAAACAAAGATTAGTTGTAGTCAGATGAGTAGACATGCAATTGCAGTCGAGGGACGATGCTTGAAGTTGCGTGCCTACTGTCAGACATGCAAGTGCGCCCCTCTCCCTCTGTCCTCCGACATAACAAAAAGGTCAGTTGCAGTCATTTGTCTAGGCATGCAGTTGCAGTTGAGGGTGATATTTGCAGTTGCATGCCTAGTGATAGACATGCAGCTGCCCCCCTCTCCTAATGTCCTTCGACAAAACAAAGGTCATTTGTAGTCAAGGGCGACACTTGCAATTGCAAGCCTAGTGTCAGGCATGAAACTTCCCCTCTCTACTGCCGCCCTCTGACGAAACAAATGTCAGGTGTAGACAAGGGAGACACTTGTAGTTGCATGCTTAGTTTCAGGCATGCAACTGCCCCCTCTCTCCCGCCGCTCACCACCGAAGAACACCACCTGACCCTTCCGCAGATTGTTGTTTGCAGTAAAGCTTCTCCACCCTCTCCCATACATTGCACTTTGTTTCAGGACCCTTGTGTGAACTTTACAGTGTACAACCGTGAAGAACAAAACGAAAAAAGCAGAGCATATAAACACGATGAAAACATATATTTTGGTAATACAAGAAGAAAGAAAGTAAAAAATATATTATATATATACAAGATACAAATAAGCAAATAAAACAAAGGTCTATGTAGAAAAGGCAACCACATCTAAGAATAAAATATTAGGACAACAACATGTGAGAATAAAAATTGTTCATGCGTGTTAAAATGTATGTTCTTCAAAATTTTAAATATTCCATATGTCCTAAACAAGGAAAAAAATAAAATTTAGAAATACAAGTAATGATGAAATGAAAGGAAAATATACTAAAAGGAAATGTAAAAGAAAGGCAAAAAGCTGGACAAGTACATGTGTATATTGTATACATATACATAGAGTGAGTTGTCCCATTAACTTTCTTCTTCCGTACATGCACGGTGCACCCAAGCCCAACAGAAAAAGAAAAAGAAAATACAAAGTTGAAAGAACATGAGGTACCCCCATGTTTGGTTTTGGTAATTGATGACAATCTCTATGGACTAATGGTTGCCCTGAGTTATATTTGAAGGTTTTGTCCATAGGCTTTTCTTGAAGTTCATGTGTTGGTTTCAAGGAGTTTATGAGTTGACCAAGGTGCTATTAAGGAATTATCCAAAGATTGGTCATGTGAGTGTTGAGCTTATTGCAAGCATATCTTGAAGAAGAAGATTGTGTGATCATTCATGTTTACCTTCAAGACATCATCCAAATGAAGAGAGTTGGAAAGATTCAAGGTTGATCAAGACTAAGTCAAGAGTGAATCAAGTTGATCAACTCACAAAGCGTAGAAG